AAAAAAAAAAAAAAAAAAAAAAAAAGCCTCTAGGGCAGAATCCTTCCCGCCTCTTCTGGTTTTTGGGGGCTCCAGGTGTTCTTTGACTTATGGCTACATTACTGTAATCTCTGTCTCTATCAGCACTTGGCCTTCCCCTCTGTGTCTGTCTTCTGTCTTCTGTCCCTTAAAAGGACACATGACTGGATGGATGCCGTGGGTCATGCCTGTAATCCCAACACTTTGGGAGGCCAAGGTGGGATGATCACTTGAAGCCAGGAGTTCAAGACCACCTGGGCAGTGTGGCAAAACCTTGTCTCTATTAAAAAAATGTCAAAACATAGCCAGGCAGGACGGTGCATGCCTGTAGTCCCAGCTACTCAGGAGGCTGAAATAGGAGGATCCCTTGAAGCCAAGAGTTCAAGGCTGCAGTGAACTGTGATCATACCACTACACTCCAGCCTGAGCAAGAGAATGAGACTCTGTCCCAAAAAAAACTTTTTCTAACTTAAAAGATAATGAGCTGGCCGGGCGCGGTGGCTCACACCTGTAATCCCAGCACTTTGGGAGGCCGAGGCGGGCAGATCACGAGATCAGGAGATCGAGACCATCCTGGCTAACACGGTGAAACCCCGTCTCTACTAAAAATACAAAAAAATTAGCCGGGCGTGGTGGTGCACGCCTGTAGTCCCAGCTACTCGGAGGCTGAGGCATGAGAATGGCGGGAACCCGGGAGGCGGAGCTTGCAGTAAGCCGAGATCGCGCCACTGCACTCCAGCCTGGGCGACAGAGCCAGACTCCGTCTCAAAAAAAAAAAAAAAAGATAATGAGCTAGGCGCATGGCTCGTACCTATAATCCCAACAACTCAGGAGGTTGAAGTGGGAGGATCGTGCTCATGAGGCCAGGAGTTTGAGGCTGTAGTCAGCTACGATCACACCACTGCACTCCAGACTGTGTGACAGAGTGACACCCCAACTGGAACAAAAAAGAAAAGAAAATGGAGTCCCCCTGTGGCTTCTGTTTGGTGTCCTTCTTTCTTCACATAACTCCCCTGCCAGTACAAAGAAAGGGCTATTGCTCTTTATAAGATGATCCTTTTTTTTTTTTTTTTGAGACAGAATCTCACTGTGTTGCCCAGTCTGGCAGTCTGGAGTGCAATGACATGATCTCAGCTCACTGCAACCTCCACCTCTCAGACTCAAGCGATTCTCCTGCCTCAGCCTCCCAAGTAGCTGGGATTACCTGTGTGCACCACCATGCACGGCTAATTTTTTTTTTTTTTTTTTTTTTGTACTTTTGGTACAGAAGGGGTTTCACTATATTGCCCAGCCTAGTCTCAAACTCCTGGGCTCAGCTGATCCACCCACCTCAGCCTGCCAAAGTGCTGAGATTACACAGGTGTGAGAGCCACCATACCTAGCCAGATCCGTGGTTTCTTTTTTTCTTTTCTTTTTTTTTTTTTTTTTTTTTTTTTGAGACAGAGTCTCACTCTGTCACCCAGGCTGGAGTGCAATGGTGCGATCTCAGCTCATTGCAAGCTGCAACCTCCGCTTCCTGGGTTCAAGCAATTCTCTTGCCTCAACCTCCCCAAATAGCTGGGACTACAGGAACCCATCACGCCCGGCTAATTTTTTGTATTTTTAATAGAGACAGGGTTTTGCCATGTTGGCCAGGCTGGTCTTGAACTCCTGACCTCAGTTGATCCACATGCCTCGATCTCCCAAAGTGCTGGGATTAGAGGCGTGAACTACCACGCCAGGCCAGATCCTTTTTTGAGTCAGGCAATGATAGAGCATTTGCCATGTGTCCAATCACAGGGAGGCTGGGCTTCACGTCCATTCTCATTTCAGACTTAAGCCATGTACTTTCTCCTGCAGATCCACGTTTAAGAGGCTTTTTCTGCATAAAACCAAGGATAAAAAATACAGCCTGGAGGGCGTGGAGGAGTTGGAGAATGCTGTGTCCGGGCAGGTGGTGCTGGAAACTGCCACCATGAAAAAGGGCCTGGAAGGTTGGTCACCTGCAGCCTCAGGGACAGCAGAGCCACCAGTGTCCCTGGGGACATTCATTGTCCCCAAATGGGGCCTTGAGTTGGCTGTGGGCCAAGCCCTAGGCACAAAGCCAGGGGTTTCTGGCCCTGGATAAAGGCATGCCGTAGGAGGTCCTCTGCATCCTTCCCCCAAATCCACCCTCACCAGCTGCTTCCTGTCCCATCCTCAGCCCCCTCCGGACACCAGCACCGCCACGCCGCAAGTGAGAAGCGCACCAAGGAGCCAGGAGGCAAAGGGAAGAAGAACCGAAACGTCAAGATTGGGAAGATCACGGTGTCAGAGAAGTGGCGGGAATCGGTATTCCGCCAGATCACCAACGCCAATGAGCTCAAGTACCTGGACGAGTTCCTGCTCAACAAGGTGGGAGCACTAGGGGAGAGCCAGGGGCATGAGGCGCGGTCCGCAGGAGAACCGTCACAGCCAGGCAGTGCTTTCCGAAACACACACCACAGGGCTTAGCAGGTCAAGAATACAAAGTGCAGGCTCACGCCGGGGACAGCGGTTCGTGTTTGTCATCCCAGCACCCTGGGAGGCTGAGGCAGAAGAATCACTTGGGCCCAGCAGTTCAAAACCAGCCTGGGCAACAGAAAGACCCCATCTCTACAAAAGGTTTAGATTTTAGCTGGTGTGGTGGTACACACCTGTAGTCCCAGCTCCTGGAGGGCTGAGGCAGGAAGATCGCTTGAGTCCAAGAGGTTGAGGCACCACAAGCCATGATCGCAGCACTGCACTCCAGCCTGGGTGACAGAGCAGACCCTGGCTCAGAAATAATAATAATGCATATTTGGTCTCAAAGCAAAGATTGATGAAGCACTGTGTGCAACAGAAGTGGAGGCGAGCAAGCTGTGGCTGCCTTCAGGAGGGTTATACCCCATGGGGCTGGGGGTTGGGCAATCCTGCAGCAGATAGAGCTACGTTTGGGAGCTGCACAGCGGCCACAGGGGGTCGATGGGGACACAGAAGGATCAGGAAACCCTGCTAGGAGTAGAGGCGTCTTGAAATGACCAGACCATTCCAGGCATCCCGGTCCTAAGGTATGGCTGGGTGTTGAGCCCCTGTGTGGGGCAGCAGGAAGGCCCTGAACTGACCTGTAGGGGGGATTCTGTCCTCCAGGGAACACTGGCAATGTCTGGGGACATTGGGGTTATCACAACCTGGAGGGAGGGCGCTGTTGGCCTCTGGTGGGTAGAGGCCAGGGATGCTGCTTAACCTGCTGTGGCGCACAGGGCAGGCCCCACTGTGGAGAGTAGTCCTGCCGTGAATGTCAGTGGCTTTATAACTCTGACATTTATAACTCTGAGATGAGAGATCAGGCTTGGTCAGAGGGACTGGATTTTATCCCAAGAGCCTAGGGGATGACTTAAGAGAGGATACAAGTGACCCGTTGGGCACCTCCTCGGGTACGCAGGTCCCCAGGCCTGAGGCACGCAGGGTCAGCTCCTCTCCCCTTCCAGATAAATGACCTCCGTTCCCAGAAGACGCCCATCGAGAGCTTGTTTATCGAAGCCACCGAGAAGTTCAGGAGCAACATCAAAACGATGTACTCTGTCCCGGTATGTGGCGGCCCGGCCTTCAGCCTTTCCCATACCCTGCTCAGACCCGTCATTCCCATCCGCCCCTTGCCCGGGCCTGCGGGGTGACGCCTAGCATTCCCACAGAACGGGAAGATCCACGTGGGCTACAAGGATCTGATGGAGAACTACCAGATCGTCGTCAGCAACCTGGCCACTGAGCGCGGTGAGAAGGACACCAACCTGGTCCTCAACCTCTTCCAGTCACTGCTAGATGAGTTCACCCGTGGCTACACCAAGAATGACTTCGAGCCAGTGAAGGTGGGCAGCCCAGCACGCCGCGCCCACCCATGCCTTGCCATGATCACTTACACCAAGCCCACCTGACATGCCATGCCCACCCATGCCCTGCCCATACCACGCCCACCATGCCATGCCATGATCACTTACACCATGCTTACCTGTGCCTTGCCATGATCACTTATGCCACACCCACCTGACATGCCACGCCCACCCATGCCACACCTATGACATGCAACATGCTATGCCTACGCATCGCTTGCCATGATTACATGCCACACCCATTTGTGCTACGCCTACCTCCTGGTGGGGAGTCCTGCACCCTCCCCAACAGGGCCTCACTTCTGGGCGTGGGGTGTCTGAATGGGGGGTATTAGGGACAGTGATGCCACTCCAGGTGAGGGAGGGTTCAGGGTACCCAGATTCCTGGGTTATGGGGTGCCAGGGGTGGGTTGGGTCACTTCCCAGGGGGCCCCTGTCGACCTCCTCCTTGTGTTCCTCACAGCAGAGCAAAGCTCAGAAGAAGAAGCGGAAGCAGGAGCGCGCTGTGAGTAGGCTGCACGTGGATGACAGTCCCAGCAGGCGAACGTTGGCAGGAGCGTGCACGTGTGTGTCAGTGTCAGTGTGTGCATGGGCCCGTCTGCACGCGTATGTGTGCGTGGATACGTGTGAGTGTGTTTTCTCCCCAGCACATACGGAGCCGTAGTCTTGAATAAGCAGACCCACCCCTGAGATCCCGTGGGCCATCATCCACCAGTGGCTGGGGAGGGCTGCCTTCCCCTTCCCCCGCCCAGCACCCTTCTCTGGCCTCACAGGTCCAGGAGCACAACGGGCACGTGTTCGCCAGCTACCAGGTTAGCATCCCGCAGTCGTGCGAGCAGTGCCTCTCCTATATCTGGCTCATGGACAAGGCCCTGCTCTGCAGCGGTGAGTGGCTCCCCGCCCAGGCCCCAAACCCCTCCACGTCCCCCACCACCCCTCACTGCTCAAGAGGGCTTCAGGGCCAGGCAGAATGGCTCACACCTGTAATCCCAGCACTTTGGGAGGCCGAGGCAGGGGGATAGTGAGGTCAGGAGTTCGAGACCAGCCTGGCCAAGATGGTGAAACCTCATCTCTACTAGAAATACAAAAATTATCTGGGCACGGTGGTGGGCACCTGTAATCCCAGATACTCAGGAGGCTGAGGCAGGAGAATCACTTGAACCTGGGAGGCAAAGGTTGCAGTGAGCCGGGATCACGCCACTGCACTCTAACCTAGCCAACAGAGCAAGACTCAGTCTCAAAAACCAAAAGAAGGGTCTTCATCCCAGCCCAGCCACCAGGTCAGATCTTTCTGGACCGTTGCCCCAGCCATATCCCACCCCCTCAAACTGTCCACCATCACCCGAGGGGCAGAGCCCAATTCTCAGCTGGCCCTGAGGCCCCCAGTACCCAGCGCCCACCCCCATCTGCAGCCTCCTCTCCTCCTGGGCCCTGCCTCTCTGTCTGTGTATACGCTGCTCCACTGCCTGAACCACTGGCCCCTCCTTCCCCAGGCTCCTCATGGTCCCTCCCCTGTAGGCCAGACTCAGCCCCAGGGGACCCTAAGAGATAGGGCCCAGGAATGACCCAGCCGATCCATGGTCACACAGCTTTGAGGCGGCCAAGCCAGGACCCAAGCCCAGGCAGCCTCCAGAGACCCAGCAGGGCCAAGAGGGCCTCTCCCGTATGTGTGTTTCTGCCAGAACCAGTCGGGCCAGGGTCTTTTCAGCCCAGAAAGCAGCCCCACCACCCCACATCTGTCCAACAGTCAGTTGTCATGGTCCTGAGACACAGATGCGGGACCCAGGCCCGTCCCCTCACCTGATTCCATCCTTCCCGGGTGCCAGACACTCTCTTCTTTAGTGTAGCCAGTGTACCCTCTCCCAAGACGTCAGCTGGGTGGCCTGGGAGTCAGTGTGGTTGGAAGAAGGAAAAGTAGCATTGTCTTTGCCCCATGACATCCTCATCCCAAGTCCCCAAAACCACCTCCTGGCAGGACTTTTAGATCTTTAGTTCTGCCAGGAGTTGGCCCTGAGGCCTTGGGGCAAGGATGTCACAGGTCCCCACAAACACCTGCTCATGGTTCCACTAGCCAGACTGGGTCTGAGGCCACGAATGGCCACCTTGAGCTATGAAGCCTGCCCGCATGGCCTCCTCTCTCAGGAGTCAGGGCACAGGTGCCTGCAGTGTGGGTTTAGAAGTCGGCAGGCCAGGCACAGTGTCTCATACCTGTAATCCCAGCACTTTGGGAGGCCAGGGAGGGAGGGTCGCTTGAGCTCAGGAGTTCTAAACCAACCTGGGCAACATGGCAAGACCCCGTCTAAACAAAAAAATACAGAAATTAGCCAGGCATGGTGGTGCATGCCTGTAGTCCCAGCTACTTGGGAGGATCACCTGGGCCTGGGAGGTCAAGGCTCCAGTGAGCTATGATAGCACCACTGCACTCTAGCCTGGGTGACAGAGTGAGACCCTGTCTCAAAACGAAAAAAAGGAAACCAAAAAGAAGGCAATCCAGGCCGGGTGCGGTGACTCATGCCTATAATCCCAACACTTTGGGAGTCCAAGGTGGGCGGGTCACCTGAGGTTGGGAGTTCAAGACCAGCCTGACCAACATGGAGAAACCCTGTCACTACTAAGAATACAAAATTAGCCAGGCGTGGTGGCACATGCCTGTAATCCCAGCTGAGGCTGAGGCAGGAGAATCACTTGAACCCGGGAGGCAGAGGTTGTGGTGAGCCAAGATTGCGCCATTGCACTCCAGCCTGAGCAACAAGAGTGAAACTCCATCTCAAAAAAAAAAAAAGGGCAGTCGGCGGCCCCCGGCCAGCTGGGTGGACGGCTGCAGGAATCTGGGGTCCCCAGCACCCTCTGTGACTCCCACCCTGTGACCTCCTAGTGTGCAAGATGACCTGCCACAAGAAGTGTGTGCACAAGATTCAGAGCCACTGCTCCTACACCTACGGGAGGAAGGTGAGTGCAGGAGGCCTGGAACTCTCTAGAATGACACTCCACTCAGAGCCGGGTGCACCGGGAGGTGGTGCTTGATGTGAGGGCCAAGCGAAGCATTGAACAGCCAGCAGGGGGCAGCTGTGGCCTCTGGTTCTGCAGAACACACCATTGTCCCTGGTTCTGTCCAAACCCCTTGAGGCCCCCAGGCAGGGCCCAGGCCTGTGTGTGTCTCAGCTCCCCCAGCCCTGCTCATCCTTGCTCCCGAGAGAGTCCTGAGCCATGTAGAGGGAGGCCCCCCAACTCTGTGCATAAGGATGGGGTCCTGGGTGGTAGGGGTGCAACAAGAGTCAGGGACTACTTCTGTGAGGCGGCTGTGGGGGCCAGGTTATAGCTCTCTCCCCACGAAGGACCACCCATGCCTTGGGTAGCCTACAAAGGAAGCCCCTGCCCAGTGGCTGCCACACTGGCCTTGACCTCTGCAGCCCCACACCCCCAACAACTATGCAGAAGGAGACAGGGAGGGACAGAACAGCAGAGGAAGCCCCGAGGGCCTTGTGCGGGACCAGGAGGGACAGGCCCCCAGAGACAGCTGGAGAGGAAGACAGCCAGGCCCAGACCTGACCCCCCGACACCCGGCACTGCAGGGCGAGCCAGGCGCTGAGCCGGGCCACTTCGGTGTGTGCGTGGACAGCCTGACCAGCGACAAGGCCTCAGTGCCCATTGTGCTGGAGAAGCTCCTGGAACACGTGGAGATGCACGGCCTGTACACCGAGGGCCTCTACCGCAAGTCGGGCGCCGCCAACCGCACTCGGGAGCTCCGGCAGGCGCTGCAGACAGGTGGGCACTGAGGGCAGGTGGGCGCAGTGCCAGGCCCCAGGCGCAGCCGTCTCACCAGTGTGCCGCTCACCAGTCCCACCCCACTCACCCCACAGACCCCACAGCAGTCAAGCTGGAGAATTTCCCCATCCATGCCATCACGGGGGTGCTGAAGCAGTGGCTGCGGGAGCTGCCTGAGCCCCTCATGACCTTCGCACAGTACGGCGACTTCCTCCGAGCCGTTGGTGAGCCCCGCCCGCAGGTGGCCATGGCCAGGGTACAGCGCTTGCTGTAACCAGCCCAGGAGACAGGACCACCCGGTCCACAAGCTGAGAAACTGAGGCCCGAAGCAGTCGGCCCAGCCAAACCGGGTTCTCAGTTTGGGGTGGGGCCAGGACACCTCTGTAGCCATCCATTCTTGCGTGGGCACCACAGGGTGGATGGCACCCGTGCATCTCAGGTCGTGTTGGTGGGGACAACAGGCACCTTGGGGACCCTTGGGAGCTGACGCCCTCAAACCCCACTGCTTGCAGAGCTGCCAGAGAAGCAGGAGCAGCTGGCTGCCATCTATGCCGTCCTGGAGCACCTTCCAGAGGCCAACCACAACTCCCTGGAGAGACTCATCTTCCACCTCGTCAAGCAAGTGCCTCCCCACCTGCCCTCTGTGGGGTTAGGGTCGCACTGGGAACCCCCGAGGCAGCATTTCCCAGGGAGACCCGAGCTGGCGTTCTGTGGTGGTTTCGAACCAGGATGCAGACCGCTGTTGGGGGTTCTGGGAGGGGGCCAGGCTGCTGGGCCGCCCGGGTCCGTGGAGGTACCTCTCTGTGCTGCAGAAGCATCTGCGGTGCTGGGCTGCAGCACTGCTTTCCTAACAGGCACCCCAGGGCTCAGAAGTTCAGTCTCGGGGCTCCCTGGGACCTCCCTCCCTCAGCCGTAGCCGTCCTCTAACTGCCAGTGACTGTGCAGGGTGGCCCTGCTCGAGGATGTCAACCGCATGTCGCCCGGGGCCCTGGCCATTATCTTTGCACCCTGCCTCCTGCGCTGCCCTGACAACTCGGACCCCCTGACCAGCATGAAGGATGTCCTCAAGATTACCACGTGAGTGCCCGCCCTGCCCCGGGACCCCACGACAACTCCATCCATCTCTGTGTAAATAAATGTGTAAGAAAAGTCCAGAGCCAAGTGCAGCAGTTCACACCTGTAATCCCAGCTACTTTGGGAGGCCAAGGCAAGAGGATCACTTGAGGCCAGGAGTTTGAGACCAGCCTGGGCAACATAGTGAGACCCTACAAAAAATTCTGAAATTTTAAATTTTTATTTAAATATAAAAATTTAAATTTTTGTCTCTACAGAAAATTTAAAAATTAGGCCAGGCATGGTGGTTCACGCCTGTAATCCCAGCACTTTGGGAGGCCAAGGTGGGTGGATCCCTTGAAGCCAGGAGTTCAAGACCAGCCTGGCCAACATGGTGAAACCCCATCTCTATTAAAAATACAAAACTTAAGCTAGGCAAGTTGACTCACGCCTGTAATCCAGCACTTTGGGAGGCGGAGACGGGCGGATCACCTGAGGTCAGTAATTCGAGACCAGCCTGACCAACATGGAGAAATCCCGTCTCTACTAAACATACAAAATTAGCTGGGCGTGGTGGCGCATGCTTGTAATCCCAGCTACCTGGGAGGCTGAGGCAG